TTTCTGTTGTGGTGTAAGTTCTTGCACTTTTTGGAATTACATTGGCTTTACCCCAAGATCATTTTTCAATATTTGCCGAATGGAATATTGCGACATATTCGGCTCACGAACCATTTTTCGATCAAGTCGGTTCTTTACGTTTCGAACCATTTCTGCTGATGTTGCTGTTTTCTTCAGTCCACTTCCTCGTCGTCGGGCTATGCTACCAGTATCACGAGCGATGGTACGAGACACAAAAGATTTATTCACATTTAAATGCTGGAGTGCTGTAACGATAGCCACTTGTGGTTTACCAGCCAAATATAAAGAAATCACACTATCTCGCTTGAATTTCATCACGAATAACTTTTTTTCTGGAAAACTCTCACCAAAATGCTTCTGTACGCTTGTAAACAATATAATGAGCTGTCACTGAAATACTTTTAACAGCTGTAGAACAAGTGGATTAGAAATGACAGCAGTCTGAAATTGGTTGCAGTTTTTCATCTCATCCTGTATAAATATCGAAAATTGTGACTCTTTGTGCTTATTTGGCATCCTATGTATTTTCATTAAAAATTTTAACAGCTTTGTGGGGGGAGGCACCAGAGGGAGTAGAGCGACCAAACCTTGTATTAATAAAAATATTGGGAGGTGTGAAAATCATATAGAATAGGATGTTTTTTCGCTTATTATAAAAGTTGTATATATTCAAAATTACGACATGTTGGGAGAGCTACCAAAAGGAGTGGTCTGTTGTCCGCTTTCACGCATCACATGTATAATATATAAATATAAAATAGAGTTCGACTCAGTTATAGCTCTCGCTGCAATATATAAAGTTAATCCGACTTGAAATTTAAGCCCCACAAAGCCGTAATAGTCAACATTGGATATTCGGTACAAGATATCAGGTACAGCCTAAAAACCTTTGCCAAACTTTGTGGAAATCAGTTCAAAGTTAAATGCAGGTCCTATTTATTTTCATCTCATAATTTGATGTATATAATAACCCTGCCGTACTAAGTTTGTCTTATAAGATTTAATTTTGGACTATACGTTCAAGTTTCGTCTGGAGTAAAGACTGATAAATTTTAACTCAATCAATATATAAATGTTTGTGGCTCCTTTATATATGTTTAAAACTATTTTTTATTGAAGACAACTTCAAGTCATAATATTCACTATACAGCTACGATATTTGGTACCTTCATCAAATTTACAGAAATCGATGCAAATTAATGTATAATAGTCCCTATATATTAGTTCCATACGATTTCAAAGTTTAACCGCTCTAAAACGTAATACGCATTCAATAATAATCCCTGCTAAATGTGCATAGTGGTCTAGGATAGGCCCCGCCTGACTATTGTTCTTTCCCTCTGGGCCTCTCTGCATCTGTTAGCTGTAATCACAAAAGAGAAATAGAAATTTTTTTAATGAAAAATAAAGTTTCTGCTTAAAGTGCCTTAAAATTGAATTAGTTTTCGTTTCTCTTTTTTTTGGCAAATGTTATAGAATGACCCCCAAAAAGGCTATACAGTTTTCAAACCACAAGCACATCCAACTGAAAATGGAATGCTCTCTTATCTATCGTTAGTTATGCACAATATCTGTGGTCAACCACCAACAATAAATGGCCAACGGCCTAAAGACATTTAATTTGCTATGACCAATTGGGGTATCATTAAATTCTGGCCGAGGAATATAAAAACGGCACAAATTTGTACAAACACACAGACAAATGTATGGAGATAGAAACTAACACAAAGTCAATTTATTCAAATGACCAACATAACAAAATAATTTGTAAAGAATATTTAAAATATTTTCGGCAGCAAAAATTTGCTGAATTTCAAAAATTTGTGAGAAAATGGTACTTGAGAATGTGTATGTGTGTGTCCCTTGGTTCAAGTGTTGTTGCTAAAACAGGGATACGCAATTCCTATAAAAGAAACAATTTCCCATTACACAATTGATCATTGTGTGACCAATGGTCGATTTAATGACCTTCTTTGTGTTTTGACCATGTTGGAACAAGAAAAATAAGGGCATCGAAATGTGCCCCCAAAGTAATGGGATTTTCATCCCTGCCAGCCCTTTGTTTTCTTTTTGTGGAGATAAATAAATTTCCTTTTATTTTTATTATATGCAAGCATTTTATTGACACATTTGTAATTTATGGCTAAAGAACTACCCAAAATGTCATGCTTAAATCTCAATTATAATTGGAGAATGGTGCCGATATTAGGGTGATCCGTGATCAATTATTTTTGAATTTTGATTAACATCTAAGCAGGATATTTTTTGTTTGGCCTATTTAAACATATTTATTTTAGCAAGGAAGTTCTTTATTAATGATTTTTATACCATACACCACTTTCTGAGTCGATTTATGCATGTCAGTCCGTCCGTCTATGTATTCTTGTGAAGAAACTGCAGGTCGCATTTATTTTCCGATTGAAATGAAATTATGCAAAAAATATTTGTTTGGCCCAAGGACGAACCCTATCGAAATTGGTGATAATCGGATCAGCCTTAGGTATAACTCTATTATATCTTCAAACGATTTTGGGTTAATTGTGCACCAAACGTCCAATATACGTCCAAATGACCTGAATTTTGGTACATCCGACTGAATTCAGTTTAGAAACAAGTACATCGAATTCGGAGAAAATCGGTTCAGATATAGTTATAGTTTTCATATATATTTTCTTCCGATTTGGTGTTTAAGTCCCTTAAGTCCCTCCCAAATTTTATTAAGATCGGTTCAGATGTGGATATGTGCGCCAAATGGCCAAGAATTGTGCACCAAATGGCCAAGATCTGTTAAAAAGTCCTGAATTTTCGTACATCCGACCGAATTCAGTCTAGAAGCAAGTACAGCAAATTTAGGGGAAATCAGTTCAGATATAGCTATAGTTCCCATATACATGCTTCTTCCGATTTGGATTTAATTTCCTCACATTCGTAATATGCATTCGACAATAATGATATTTGGTACCAGATATCTTATAAAGCTCGGAATACCTTTGTCAAATTTTATAAAAAAACGGCTAAGAATCGGATACAGCGCCCATGTATATCCTTAATCCGATTAAAGGTTTATTGTGCAAGTAATGGCTAATATCAGCCTAAATGGAGTGGTTTACGGGAGGTACATCTCCATTTTGTGCAACTCGGCTCCGATATATATTTTTTATACTCTACACCACAAGGTGGTCAGGGTATAATGTCTTTGTGCATTTGTTTTCAACAGGCAAAAGGAAAGGAGATAGACCCATAGTTCCTTTTGATGATTTGCATAGAATCCGTCCGTTTGTCCATGTATTTTTGTAAACAGAGTACAGTTCGCATTTATTGCCCTATCCAGAGGAAATTTTGCACAAATCAAGGACGAACCCTATTGAAACTGGAGATAATCGGTCAAAATTTAGATATAGCTCCCATATATACCTTCCCTTTTATTGTGCACCAAACGTGTGTGTCCCTTGGTTCAAGTGTTGTTGCTAAAACAGGGATACGCAATTCCTATAAAAGAAACAATTTCCCATTACACAATTGATCATTGTGTGACCAATGGTCGATGTAATGACCTTCTTTGTGTTTTGACCATGTTGGAACAAGAAAAATAAGGGCATCGAAATGTGCCCCCAAAGTAATGGGATTTTCATCCCTGCCAGCCCTTTGTTTTCTTTTTGTGGAGATAAATAAATTTCCTTTTATTTTTATTATATGCAAGCATTTTATTGACACATTTGTAATTTATGGCTAAAGAACTACCCAAAATGTCATGCTTAAATCTCAATTATAATTGGAGAATGGTGCCGATATTAGGGTGATCCGTGATCAATTATTTTTGAATTTTGATTAACATCTAAGCAGGATATTTTTTGTTTGGCCTATTTAAACATATTTATTTTAGCAAGGAAGTTCTTTATTAATGATTTTTATACCATACACCACTTTCTGAGTCGATTTATGCATGTCAGTCCGTCCGTCTATGTATTCTTGTGAAGAAACTGCAGGTCGCATTTATTTTCCGATTGAAATGAAATTATGCAAAAAATATTTGTTTGGCCCAAGGACGAACCCTATCGAAATTGGTGATAATCGGATCAGCCTTAGGTATAACTCTATTATATCTTCAAACGATTTTGGGTTAATTGTGCACCAAACGTCCAATATACGTCCAAATGACCTGAATTTTGGTACATCCGACTGAATTCAGTTTAGAAACAAGTACATCGAATTCGGAGAAAATCGGTTCAGATATAGTTATAGTTTTCATATATATTTTCTTCCGATTTGGTGTTTAAGTCCCTTAAGTCCCTCCCAAATTTTATTAAGATCGGTTCAGATGTGGATATGTGCGCCAAATGGCCAAGAATTGTGCACCAAATGGCCAAGATCTGTTAAAAGTCCTGAATTTTCGTACATCCGACCGAATTCAGTCTAGAAGCAAGTACAGCAAATTTAGGGGAAATCAGTTCAGATATAGCTATAGTTCCCATATACATGCTTCTTCCGATTTGGATTTAATTTCCTCACATTCGTAATATGCATTCGACAATAATGATATTTGGTACCAGATATCTTATAAAGCTCGGAATACCTTTGTCAAATTTTATAAAAAACGGCTAAGAATCGGATACAGCGCCCATGTATATCCTTAATCCGATTAAAGGTTTATTGTGCAAGTAATGGCTAATATCAGCCTAAATGGAGTGGTTTACGGGAGGTACATCTCCATTTTGTGCAACTCGGCTCCGATATATATTTTTTATACTCTACACCACAAGGTGGTCAGGGTATAATGTCTTTGTGCATTTGTTTTCAACAGGCAAAAGGAAAGGAGATAGACCCATAGTTCCTTTTGATGATTTGCATAGAATCCGTCCGTTTGTCCATGTATTTTTGTAAACAGAGTACAGTTCGCATTTATTGCCCTATCCAGAGGAAATTTTGCACAAATCAAGGACGAACCCTATTGAAACTGGAGATAATCGGTCTGTTGACGGGACAACTTTGCTACAGTCGGTCACCACGGAGTCAATTTCCCTGATCGACTGGTTACCTGCACTTCTGGCTCGGGTAAATGCTCCTACTTGGGCAAGGGTTCCTTTGCAGCCTCAACAAATTATTTCTCAATACGGTCTGCTACCACTGTGTCGATCGTTGCTTTACAGTAAAACGCACAATAATTTTTACTTCACTTTTATTGTTTTGCACAATTCTGGGCACAATTTTATTTTAACGACCTTCTTGGTCAAAGGCAAAAAAACGACAACGATAAAAAACTTCGAAAACTAATAGAAGATGATGATTCTTCTTCTTCTCATCGAACCCTTGTTCTTACTCCGAGAGCAAGAGAGCAGGAAAATATTGATCAAAGCAGAACCAGTGATATGGCATTGCCAGTATAGAAAAAAGGGAGAGACGACGTACATGGGAATTGCCTTCGAGGGCGAACATTAGTGCTGCGCTTGTAGCGCTTTTCCCATGAACATCTTCCCCCCCTTGGGACAAGGTCCCAACTAAAGTATACTATGAAATTAATTTTGACATTATATAAAACGTTAGAAAATTAGAAAAAACTAAACAAATTAAAAATTAATAAAAATAAGGAACCAGCTCCACGGTCTTCAGTCTTCATGGTATCGTAACAAATACTGATAACTTTCATCGGGTAAGTAGGAATTGTTGGGAAACAGTTACTTCTTCCGGGCAACGTCGCCGAAAAAGGTCCAGCCAAAGATGGTGTTTTGAGCGTACGGCATGCCTGGTTCAATGATGGGTAGGCCCAAGAAAATTCCGTTAGATGCTGATTTTCCCAAGACCACATTATACTTTCCCGGTGTTTCAAAATGGGGATCCGCTATCGCCTTCTTTGGGTAAACTTTTTTTACGCACTGCAAATCGACGGCGTGACGTGGCGATAACAACTCGGACTCAAGCTCGACGTTAAGTTTGGCGGTGTACGTCCGAACATTGTTGTTTGTCGATGTCAGCACAACAGTGGCAGGGCTCGGGTACATCACAAAATTGCTGGGAGAGCCCAGTTCGAGTGAGCTTTCATCGTAAAGAGGGTCGATAAGGACACGAACTTTCCTTGGTGTTTCATCCAGTCCCGGGAGATGCATCATGACTTCGGCGGTCATACGCAACCAAACCTCCCGGTTAACATCAAGAGGGTGCAACCAGGTGTGATGGGCCAAATTGCATACCCGACAGCCTTCGTTCCAAGGGCAAGTAATAACGCGATGACCCAGGCCAAGACAATTTACGCAGCCTTGATACTTGCGCACAATGGCGTCCTTCGCTGAAGGCGTCGCCTGAAGAAAGCTGCGACAGTGTCGGAAAGAGTGCCGAGTGTGACAAAGTGGGCACTTAAAGGCATCATTGTAACTCATCTGTAAGAAAGTGTAAGGCATGGTTAGGCGACAATAAAATGGGTAAACGTATTTTCATAGAGTAAGACATCATTAAGTGTGACAACGTAAGCTGGTCTATAGAGCATAGTTTATTCGGGACGAGGAAGGAGTACTAATTGTGTACAGGACGCGTTATCACGCCGTTCAGGGTTTTCAAGTCCACCACTCGAACCCTATTGTCCTGTCCAAAGTGTAATTTTACCACGCGACCCATGCGCCACTCATTTGGAGCAAGTGAGTCAGAATGTAGCACCACAATATCATCAAGTTGTAGATCGTTTTGAGCCACTTTCCACTTAGTGCGTTTATGGAGCTCCTTGAGATACTCCATTTTCCAGCGCCTACAAAATTCTTGAGAAATCAACTTTATACGTCTCCAACGGTTCAACAAGGACGTTTTATTTTCGACTTCGTCGGGCTCAGCAAGAGACAACAAAGGACCGCCGATGAGGAAGTGCCCGGGAGTAAGGGCGCTAGGGTCATCTATGCCATCGGTTAAGGAAGTAAGTGGTCTAGAGTTAAGGCACGCTTCTATGCGGGCGAGTATAGTGGAGAGCTCCTCGAATGTATGTCGTATCTGCCCTGAGATTTTCTTCAGGTGCATTTTGCAACTTTTAACCCCTGCCTCCCACAGGCCACCCATATGTGGAGCTGCGGCAGGATTAAAGTGCCATTCTAACTTCTGAAACCCGTATCGAGTAACAGAATCGTCTCTGGTTTCTGATATAATCTTCATGAGGTTGGATCGTATTTCGCGATCAGCACCCACGAAATTCTTACCATTGTCCGAGTATATATGACGGGGACAACCACGCCGGGCAACGAATCGAGCAAGAGCGGCGATAAACGCCGGGGTTGAAAGGTCGCTGACCGGTTCCAAATGGATCGCCTTGGTGGCGAAGCAAACAAACAGACAAATGTAACCTTTCGAAATGCGGCAGCCTCTACCACTAAAATTCTTAATTTCCACCGGGCCAGCGAAATCTACCCCAGATGTGGAAAATGGTCGGGATATTGTAGTCCGTTCTGGAGGAAGGGCAGCCATTAGCTGTGTTTGTCGTTTCTTTTGAGCCAGAACGCACTTCGTACAATTTCGGTAACGAGTTTTCACCAGGTTCCGGCCTCTTATGATCCAGCATTCGAGGCGTGTAGTAGCCAGAGTTAGCTGAATACCACCATGGTTGGTAAGACGATGAACAAAGTCAACGTACAGTGCAGCGAATCTGCTCTTATGGGCCAGAATAATTGGATACCTTTCATCGTACGATATTGAAAGGGCAGAACTCAACCTTCCGTTGGCTCGAATAAGGCTGTCTTTGTCGAGAAAAGGGTTTAGTGACAAAAGAGGGCTCCCAGACTCAATCTTCTGATTTTTAAGGAGGCAATCATATTCCGAGGGGAAATGGATTCTCTGTGACACAGACATCAAACGGCGTCGGGCAAAACTAATTTCATCCGCTGACAACCTTACGGTATCAAAACACGTTGTCTTCTTGGCTTTCCCGTGCGTTCGGTTGAAAAAGCGAATTATGTACCCTACAACATGAGTTGCTGTGGATAGACAAGAAAATCGTTCTAATATATCTTCCTCCACGGCAGATCGAGCAAAATGAACTTTTATAGGTTTAGCCTCCAATATTGTTTCAGATATCACCACACCAGACGGCCATCTATTTTCGGGCGATTTGAGCCAGGATGGTCCATGCCACCACAGACCACTCTCCTTTATTTCTAAAGGAGTCCGCCCCCGGGTTGCCAGATCTGCCGGATTTTCATCCGTAGGAACATGATGCCAGTCACTTCCTATTTTCTCCTGGATAATAGAAACTCTATTTGCGACAAACGTTGTCCAAGAGTATGATGGTTTCTTGAGCCAAGCTAGTACAATAGTCGAGTCTGACCAAGCAAACAAAGATGTCTTTTGAATATCCAATTGAGGCAAAACTGAATCTACTAACTCCGCAAGCAGCAAGGCGCCACAGAGCTCTAATCGAGGTAGCGACATCTTCTTCAAAGGGGCAACTTTAGATTTCGCAACGAGCAAATTCGAAAAAATATTATGTCCCACTTCAACTCTCAAATACAACGCTGCTGCATAAGCCGACTCCGACGAATCACTGAACCCGTGTAATTGAACATTGCAGTCAGCAGAGTAATTTACCCACCTTGGTATTCTAATTTCTTCAATTCCCACGGAAGTTGAGACAAAGTTCTTCCAGCTTAATAAGGTATGTGGCTTTAGGGGGTCATCCCATCCAACATCATCGAGCCATAATTGCTGCATGAGAATCTTCGCAGTTATTATAATTGGGGAAAGCCAACCCAAAGGATCAAAAATCTTTGCGATAATGGACAACACTTGCCTCTTAGAATACGAATTTCTTTCTGGAATTTTGTCCATAACAAAGTAGAAACTATCTACCGAGGCGTTCCACCGAATACCCAACGTCTTTGCAGAGCTTTTGTCGCCGAGCTCCAGAAATTCTTCATTTAAAAGTTTTTCACGAGCCAGACCCTTCAGAATTTCTTTGGAATTGGACGTCCACTTTCGAAGCTCAAATCCACCTGATTCAAGAATTCCTATCAATTCTTCCTTCGCTTTCAACCCCTGAGAAACAGTATGAACGCCTACCAAAGCATCATCGACATACATATTATTTCTTAGAATTTTTGAGCCAATTGGAAAACGATACTCTTCGTCATCCGCCAATTTTAAAAGAGTTCTAAGAGCCAAGTATGGGGCGCAATTGACACCAAATGTTACCGTCTTCAATTGGTAATCAGAAACTTCTTCGTCTGGGCAAGTTCTGAACAGAATACGCTGGTACTTAGCATGTGATGGATTGATCAAAATTTGACGATACATCTTAGAAATGTCTGCATTAAATACATATTTGTATAAGCGCCAATTTAATACCAGAGAGATAATGTCTTTTTGAAGGGAAGGTCCAACATACAACACATCATTTAAGCTTTTGCCATTAACCGAGGCACATGAAGCGTTAAAGACTACCCTCAGCTTCGTAGTCACGCTCTCAGGCTTAAAAACGCCATGATGAGGCAAATAAAAACAGTCCTCGTAGTTTACAAAGTGTTCTATCTTCTCCATATGTCCCAGAGACAAATATTCTAAAATCACCTCATCATAATCCGATTTTCGTTTTGGATTTCTCAGTAACGACGTCTCATTCCGCAAATATTGAGTAAGAGCAACGTATCGGCTGGACTTTGATGCAAAAGAAAAAGGAGGATCGTCTTTAAAGGGCAAGTTCACGGTATATCTTCCATCAGAGCCTCTGGAAGTCGTACATCGAAAAATTTCCTCGCACTTCTGTTCCTCTATCGAGGTAGTTGAAACCTTGGGAACCTCTTCAATTTCCCAGAACCTAGCTAGCTGGTCTTGCACTGACACTCTAGTGCAATATGAAACACTCATTGAAGTCGGATAGAGCAAATTGGTTGCTGGGCCAGTCAATACCCACCCAAACACGGTCTCTTGAGCTAAAAGTGAGCCAAAGATATTTTTCCTAACTCCACTGAGCAAGATAATTGGGTAAATGTTTCCACCGAGCAATACATCTACTTGGCCACCTCGATAAAACGTTGGATCCGCAAAATCTAGATCCGGTAATTCGTCCATACGAATCTTATCCAAAGGCTGTGTGGGTATATTTCCCGTTATTTCTGGGACCACGAAGGCCTCCAAGTCTAGCGTGAAAGAAATATTTTTCACCGAACCAATTCTAATAGATGCTATTTTCGAGCATTTCGTTAGATGTTGACCGCCTAAACCAGAAATTTCGGCAGAGACAAGGCTTGTTGGTAACTTTAGCATTTTTTGCAACCGAGAGGAAATAAAAGAGTCATCCGAGCAAGGGTCTATTAGCGCACGAACTTTGTATGGAATTCCATTCCTTAAAATGTTTACCCATGCTGTGGCAAGCATTGTTCTATTTGAGACAGAGGTATGGAAGGCCCGAGGATTAGATAGAGTTGTTGGACCCGAAGATATATTTGGACTCACATTCAACATTTGAGACAAATCTGAGGTGTTGGTTGAGTTTGCATCATTACCTTGAGTAATTGTATTCTTATGAAGAAGACTATGATGCTTTGATTTACATTTAGAGCAACCCTGAGACCGGCAGTCCACCACTCGATGGCCCAATGCCATACAATTAATGCAACGATTTTCCCTTTTAATGACATTTAATCTATTTCTGAAGTCCATATTTAGGAATTTCGGACAAGATTTCAAGGGGTGAGTGCCATTACACAAATTGCATTTATTCTCATTCACTTTGGTATGGTGGACTCTAAACTGTCTCAATTTTTCATATTGATTGTGCTTTGGGCGAGAACCTTGTCCTACTTGTACCCCATTCGAACAAGTTATATCTGACACACTTTCCAATGCTTTAAATCTCTCCGTGAGAAATTTATTCAAGTCATCCCAGTGAGGCATTTCTGTCTTATTATGCAAAGACTGCTCCCATAGAGAAAGAGTAAGTTTCGGCATTTTCGTAGAGCACAGATAGACAAATATAGGGTCCCATGACTTCACATCAATTTTATATAACTCAAGGACCGCTATGCAATTAGTAACGTCTCGTTGCAGTTTCTTTAGGCCACATGCCGATTCTTGCCCACAATGAGCAAGATTAAATAAATTCCGCAGCTGAGTATTTACTAGAATTCTCTTATTTTCATATTGGTTCCTCAAATTGTCCCAAGCAATAGAGAAACCTTCGGCTGTCAACGGAATATGGCGATTTATTTCTCTTGCCTCTCCACTTGTTTTTTGGAACAAATGGTAAAGTTTCTCGACAGAGCTAAGTTTTTTATTATTGATATAAATGGCCGTGAACAAATCGCGAAAACTGGGCCATGACACATAGTCCCCATGAAAAACCTCCGTGTCACACGGCGGGACTGAAATTGAGGCAGACACTTTTTGGTTTTGAGCAATTGGTACAACCTTTATTTTTTCCTTCCATTCCCCAAGATGTTAATGCACCTAACGTAACTCTGATGAGCAAGTTTTTTATTAGTTTTTATGGTCTCCTTATTTTTCTTATAGCTCTCCGGGTCAGAGGTACAAGCTTTCAGGGTTTCCCTCCATTCTGTCCACAAACTGTGAAGCTCTGATTTTTCAACATCAATTGCAGAATCGTTGAACCCTGAGGAATCAGTCTCCTTTAAATTTTCTTCAAAAGAAATAATTTCCTCACATTTATTCAAAAGTCTTCTAGACTTGCCATTTTCATCGAGCAAGCTTAAAATTTTCGATCTAGCAAAAAATTCGAAGGCGATAATCTCGAAAAATTATTGATGGGGAAATGTCCACTGCTCCTCCAGAGGAAGGTTTCTATTCTAATTTCCGAACAATTTGCTCCAAAAAGTTCACAATAAAACGTCCAATCTCAGCAGACAAGAGCACTCAACAACCGTACCCTTGAGTTTTGAATGTTTGTAACGTCTTCCGTAAGTCTCCAAACGAGCAAGTTATTTTACAGACCGACGATAAAACTTCAGCATTTATCAATCATAAATTGAGAACGATTGCTCCACTATATCTATTCCCCAATAATTGAGTAAGATTTAAAAACTTTAATTTGTACTTCTTGTAAAGTTTTAAACGAGCAAATTATTTAATGGTGTGCCAACAAACAGTCCACATAATGTTCATTCCAACAATGAATTGTCAATGTTTTCTCAATTAGAGATTTTATTTTTTTTTTCTTTTTTTTTTTTTTTTTTTTTGAGCAAGTCCCTATATTACAAATAGATGCCTCTGACCCACAGAGTCGAATATACAAAAGGGCAAAATCCACTAACAACAAAATTGCTCTTCTTTTATTGTGTAAAGTAATTCCAAACTTTACCTTCACTATTTTACGCCGTTACACACCACTGTGTATGTAGCAATAATTTTTTTGTTTTCTTCTAATAAGGTGGATAACCAAAGAGTCAATGTTACTCTTTCCACTTATTGTTTGCTTCGTCTTATCTCCTTCGAGAAAATATAGTTCTTCATACACTAGCAATCAAAATCAATGCAAATGAATATGAGTCAGGGCAGCCGCCAATGACAAAAACACCAATAGAGCCCAACCAAATTAGATAGAGACAATGCAACAACTATGCAGAGCCACCAGCGCACAAGCTGCGAGCCACCAAATCATAAACAGCAACGGCGCAACAGCAACACTGCATAGCAACCAACGCACAAGTGCTGAACCACCAACGCACAAGCAGCGAGCCACCAACAACATAAACAATGCCAGTGCGTCTAACGTACGGACAGCGCGCCACCAATGCACAACAACACTGCTTTGTATGTTATGACAGGCGAAGAAATTTTGCCTATTATGTAGATTTACAGGCAAACGGCAAGCACACAAACAGCGAGCCACAAAAAAGTACACCAACAATGCTGTATAGTCCACAAGAAGGCAGGCAAAGAAATAAACAAAGTGCTGTTACAAACAACAACACAATCAAGGGCCAAAGAGTAAGGCAGCGGCAAGGCTCCAAAAATATTCCAACGGTACCAAATGAGTCAATAACCTTAGCTACCCTTGAATATTTTTAGCAAGGTTATGTAACGGGACCACGACAATAGATCCAGTTTTCGCTCTTCACCACAATTCCAATTTTTTTTTTTTTTTCTCAAAAAATTGCCGGTACTTACTTTTATTATTTTTTCCAAATTGCCGGTTGAGAAGGACCAGATGTTGACGGGACAACTTTGCTACAGTCGGTCACCACGGAGTCAATTTCCCTGATCGACTGGTTACCTGCACTTCTGGCTCGGGTAAATGCTCCTACTTGGGCAAGGGTTCCTTTGCAGCCTCAACAAATTATTTCTCAATACGGTCTGCTACCACTGTGTCGATCGTTGCTTTACAGTAAAACGCACAATAATTTTTACTTCACTTTTATTGTTTTGCACAATTCTGGGCACAATTTTATTTTAACGACCTTCTTGGTCAAAGGCAAAAAAACGACAACGATAAAAAACTTCGAAAACTAATAGAAGATGATGATTCTTCTTCTTCTCATCGAACCCTTGTTCTTACTCCGAGAGCAAGAGAGCAGGAAAATATTGATCAAAGCAGAACCAGTGATATGGCATTGCCAGTATAGAAAAAAGGGAGAGACGACGTACATGGGAATTGCCTTCGAGGGCGAACATTAGTGCTGCGCTTGTAGCGCTTTTCCCATGAACACGGTCAAAATTTAGATATAGCTCCCATATATACCTTCCCTTTTATTGTGCACCAAACGTGTAATATCAGCCCGAATAGTATGGAATTTTTTACATACAACCAAATTAGGCCTGAATATAAATGCCAAATTTAACAATAATATTTGGAAAAATATATGAAATACAGCTCAGAAATAAATTTGCTAAATATATATATATCTCTCATATATAACTTCGTCCGATTTACTTTTTATTGTAATATTTGCACAAATGGGATATATATATATATATATATTATATATATATATATATATATATATATATATATATATATATATATATATATATATATAGTCGACCAACCCGACTTTTGACTTTTCTTTACTGGTTCAATATCGTAGCTGGCGATATACATTTTCATTTGGAATTTTTTCTAAAAAATAAATTTTTATAAAAATTCCATCAATGGTAAATTTAAAAAAAAAACAACAATTAATTTTAAGAATTTAATAATATTAATCTTTTTGGAGATTGGAATCCATACCAAAAATTCTTTTTGACAAAATATCCACCCTAGTATTCTACATTTTACATTACAATACATCGTTGATATTACAATTTATTTTATTTCTGACTTTTCCCCACTCTCTCTCTCTCTCTCTCTCTCTCTCTCTTTTAATGTCCAGTTTTATTGAAGAACATTATAATAACAATAAATTAACATTATGTCCACATAAAAATTGATACACACACACATTTTCTGCTATGCACACACATCTCAGAAAAAAAACAAGTAGATATTTTTAATGGGATATTTTGTATTTAAATTAAGCATAATATATCTCCCTAATTACTCCCCTTCATAAATTTACATGCAACTACGTAGCCGACGCTATAAAGGAACTGTAGTTAAACGCATTTAATATAATTATGAAAGTTCTTTCATAAACAAATTGCCTCGTAAGAGTGCCATTTATGGTCTTAAAAGGAAGTGACCGAAATGGACCGTAGATGGGATGCTGCGCTTTTGGAGAAAGAGACGAGGAGGAGGGAGGTAGAGAGAGGTCAAGAATTTAATTGGATTTTTAGTGGAGCTGTATGAACTGTAATTGGCTTATTTGGATACAAATTTTTATTTGGGAATAATTGTAAACGAATTAGAGCTTTTAAATTGGACTCATTTGTTTCTATTGTAGCTAATATATTTTTGATGTTTGTTAATTGGAAATAGTAACGAATGTGAAATAAGTATAAAATTGTTTTACGCAGTATATTGTTCGGCCCATGACTTTTCCAAGTTCGGGCCAATTAGTCATTATGGTTAGGGTATAGGATACAGTCACTTAACCAATTCGTTGAGAATGTATTTCCTCAACCATATGGCTACAAAAAGTACATTTCATTTGATGCGACTAAAATGATCGATATAGCGGATTTAGACCCTAGGTATCTTTACACGAATATCAGTCCACTCATTCTGGTACCTTCCCCAGAACATCTCTAAATTTTTACATAAAATATTTTACATCATAGAACAAACTTTACAAATTGAGTATTTTTATCAGTATTAGGTCAGGTGCTAAGATGAGCGATATCGGCCCACGCCATCAATCCAATTATCTTAAAATTTCATACGTATTAATATTTCTACTAAAGCAAGATCTACATGATCTGGTGCGCAAATGGCACCTTCCCCGCAAGTGGTCAAATTTTGGAATAATTATAACTCTTATAAAATGTGAAATAAGAGCAATGTGTAAAAATCCTCCCAATTGTGGGCACACATTTGGTGCCTAATAAACGTGAAATCGGTTGAATATATAGAGTGCGATGAAAAAACGGCAATCAACTTCTGACTGCTGTCATTTCAAAGAAACTTGTTCGACAGCTATTAAAATTATTCCAGCTGCAGCTTATTATATTGTTTACAAGCGTAAAAAAGCATTTTGGTGAGAGTTTTCCAGAAAAAAAAGTTATTCGTGATGAAATTCAAGCGAGATAGTGCGATTTCTTTATATATGACTATAAAACCACAAGTGGCTATCGTTGGAGTAGTCCAGTTCTTAAATTTGAATAAATCTTTTGTGTCTCGTGCCATCGCTCGTGATACGGGTGCCGTGATATTGGTAGCGTAGCCCGACGTCAAGGAAGTGGACGGAAGAAAACAGCAACATCAGCAGAAATGGTTCGAAAAGTAAAGAAGCGACTTGATCGAAACTCGTGAGCTGAACATATCAGCAAACATTGACAAATGAGCTCGAGGTAAAGCTATTGAAATTCCAAAAAGTGCAAGAACTTACACCGCAACAGAGGGAAAATAGACTCAAAAGAGCTAAAGAGTTGTTTCGCTTGGCCGAAAGTGGTGAACTCCCGAATTTGGTTTTCTCCGATGAGAAAACATTCGTTGTAGAGCAGTTTGTAAACAAACAGAATGATCGTGTTTACTTGCCAAAGAGGTCAGCAGAAAATGTGCACCTTCGGTTGGCCACCAGAACTCAAGCGCCGAAAATGGTGTGGGCCGCCATAACAACCGATGGTCGTTCTCCCCTCGTATTAATCGACCGTGGCATCAGAATAAGTCCCGAATATTATCGCGAAAATATTGTGGAGGGTGTATTAAAGCCTTGGGCACGCAAACATTTTGGCCGCAGACCTCGGACGTTCTAACACGACTCATTCCAACAGCACGCGCCACCGAATGAATTGAATGAATATTCGCCCAATTTAATAAACTTAATTTTGAGCTGAATTTGTTGACATGTTTCAAAAACGATTCTATATGGTCAGATATAATGCATAAGGTGCACAAACAAAAATAAATCGGAGAATTGGAATACATCATCGACAGATACATCCAAATCAACCGATTTTCACCAAATTTAAAGTAATTATTTCATGTATGAATTCAGTCGGAATTGCCTAGATTCAGTTCATTTGGGCTGATACTAGCCATTTGGTGCACAAAAAAACCCGATATCGGATAAAGATATATATGGGAGCTATGTCCAAATCTGATTCGATCTCAAAAGAACTTAACAAAGGCATTTCTGAAGTGTATTTTATATGCGATACCAAATATTATTATTGTGGAGTGCATATTATTTGGGCTGATATGTTCACAAAAATACATGGACAGAAGGGAGGACAGACAGACTGACATGCATAAAACGATTCAGAAAGTGTTGCAGGGTATAAAAAGTAGATTACCGGTAGGCAAAACCCTCAAAAAAAACTTTGAAATCTACAATGCATGTTTTAAAGATTCTAGCAGCAAATTCTTGAAAAAGCTTCGGAAAAAATCGCCAATGTTCGGTCAGAAGACAAAACCCGAAAAAAATCTCTGATCCCTGAAAATTAAAAAAAAGATTTTCGCTCAGTATATTCTTCAAAGAAGTTGTTAAAAAATATACAGATCTATATAAAAATGGTCTCAATCAAAGAATTTTTTTATCCAAACCAATTTATTTTGCAAATTTAAAAAATATCTTTACAAATTTTACAACTTCGGTCGGGAAATCCTTAAAAGTCCATGATGTTTGGTAAGAAGATCCCTCAAAATTTCTGAAGAATTTAAAATGTTCGTTCAGAAGATACTTAAAAAATTACCTACCAAATCCTCAATGTTGCAGATTCTTGATACTTTAAAAAATAAAAACTTTTCGAACAGCACATTCTTCAAATATTTTTATATAAACCACGACATTCGTCCTGAAGATCTTAGAAAAAGATCATTAAAAAACCACGTTTTTTACATGTTACGGGTTCTTGAAAATACTTCCAAAATATCTTCTAAAAATACCCCAGATGTTCAGTATGTAGATGCCTAAACAAATATTAAAAACCTAAAGTTTCTGTCTCCTGCAATACAAAATTTGAATATAATATTCAAACTTTGGTTCACTTACCTGATGATTTGAAATTCTTCTAAATTGCCAACAAAATTGTCAAAGGGCCGATTATTGCACAGCAGATCCTTAAAAAAATATCTTTAATAATTTTCAGTTAGCAGATGCTTGCAAAAAAATTTATAAAATATTCGTAATTTCGGTCAGGTGTCTATGCGGTCAGAAAAAAAAACTTTAAAATAATCCGAGATTTTTATTCAACAGTCCCTTAAATTTTTTTTCAATTATCGATTTTCTTTAAGAGGATACTTGAAAAAAATCATTAAAAAAATTCATATTTTTTCATCAGAAAATCCTAGAAAAAGTTTTTATAGAATCCACGAAGTCCCGTCAGTATGTCCTTAAACATATAACTAATATCTAACTGTAACATGACTATTGCCAGCGAACAATTTTGGGGAGTGGTTTCAATTAAAGATTTCTTTCGTTTCAAACTTTACATTCCGTATCAATTTTATTCTGCAAGTCAACAAATGTTGAATAACAAAAGGGAAACTTTTTCACAATTTCCTAATAATTTGAAAATCTTCTAAATTTTTCTGTAAAATTACATAAAAAAGGACAATATTTCTTCTTCTCTTTTCACCCTTCACATTTCGTCAAAGTTAGCAAAGAAAAAAGGAAAATGGAAAATAACAAATTATATTAAATTGCCTTAAGGAGCTTCTATGTGTGGGCTATTCTATCTGGTCTTTTCCAAGTATTTCAAAACATTTTTGGACAATCATTCTTGACACATGCATGTGTACACATGGGTATTTGCGTTCTTCACCCAACTTTTTTCACCAAAAAAAAAAAAAAAAAAAAAAAGAATTGTAACACAAAACCCATTTCCCATATAGAATTTTTTTTCAAAAGATAAATGCAATAAATATTGAATGAACCCCAGGCTAAACCCGGGCCAAATTAAATATTCTATAAAAAATGTTCTGTGAAGAGATAGGAATTTTTCCATACTGTGTGAAGTATGTAACTCTGTCACCCTCTATGATGCCTCGCATTTGAACTTCTTTACTGTGCGGTACATTTTGTTATTCCCTTCTTTGACATTCTTATAATAATGAGTGTGGCCATCACATAAAAGGGGTCATTATAATGAGAATCTGAGAAA